TGGGTGCAGAGAGGTGTGAAATGAAACTTCCAATGAATGGAGAAAATTTAAAAGAACAGTAGTCTGTCGTTAAGAGAAGGGAGAATGTGTGATCCTAGCTGCAGAATAATTTTGGTTTCGGTGGTCTTTCTGATGTATGAGTTCGGAAAACCATCTTTGAGAACACAGGGTCAAAGTGCCTCCTAGTGTTGATGCTTCTTTTCCAGTGGTTAAGTGCATGTAAGCATTCATTTATTTTTTTAAAGGAATGTTTTGTTCTCCTATCGCAGTTTAATTTCATTGAATGTCTCGTCTATACCTGCACAAAAGGTATGATTCATTCATGTTGAGCAGGCTCGACTCAAAATGGGCAAACTGAATAAACAGTGGTTTTGCCAAGGTTCCTTAAGGCTGTGTACTACTAAATGCATTTAATCTCGTCTGTCCCTGTAAAAGAAAATGACAGCATGGGGAACATAACGCGTTCATTCAAAGTAAACTAAGTAAGTTAAACCTTGCAATACCTCAAAGCTTTTTACTATTAAATGCGTGTACTATTAAACATTCCGTGTATAAAGCACATAGCAGGTAAACGGATATTCATCAGTCGAAATAGGGTGACGAAATGCAGACTTTATGTCAAAACGTCGTACCTAAAATACATACATTATTAATATAAGTAGTCTAATGACATTTTGTTTTTACATAAATTATTATGAGTTTTTAAAATGTAAAAAATGTCTGTTATACTAATGCTTGAAAATTTTATTCTCCATGGCAACTTCTCTCCGCTTTGATAGGCTACCGCTACAGCTTGAAACGTCACCAGTCCGCAAATAGTTGGGGGTGATTCCCTTCAGCGGAGTCCGCTCCGATGCAGACCTCAGAGGATTGCGCATTGGGGGTGCTCGTGAGCCCCCTATTGACACAAATTTGAAATGGGACACCCTTAGCCCTTGCAGACTTGAACGGAAACGCGCACAGGAGTGGCGCAACATCGCAAGCGTGCATAATATAATGCTGTTTTTTAATCTGTCCAGAAAAAAACATCAAGAACAAGAGTCACTCCTTTACCTACATATGGAGTATGGAACAAGCATCCCAAGGATGTTATTGGAGTTGGTTTCTTTAAAAAACAGCTTGATCCTCCTAGGAGCAATGAACTATTAACCACTAAATGAGCTAGATGCACGTAGGCCAAAAAGCCTCCATTGTAACCTTTCTTAATGCAGTTAAAAGGTGCATATGATTTAATCAAGATATTATTTTATAGATTTGCCAGTATGTTATCAGCTCATAAAGCTCAGTACAATATACAGTACAGTGTCAATGATCTATTAATATTAAAACGAATTAAAAGCAATGAATTTGCTCTAGTGAAAGCAAATACAATCCATGTATATGGTTAATAGTCTACTGCATAAAGGAAAATTAATTTCTTTCACCTTGAGATGAATGCCCTGGCAGTCTGTCCTGACTCATTCTCACAGACTATGGCAAAGAGTCTGACTCCTTATGAGTCACTCATGACGGTTTTTCCTACAGTACCTGGCTGAGGAAAACAACTACAGTACCGGAACATAAGGAGATTGCTATCAGAATCCCTTCCCCCCTTAAATTTGAGACAAGCCAAGTACAGTAGCTGCTACAAAGAGGGAGATGAGGTAAAGTGAGGTGATCAAGCACAGACAGATGTTCAAGAATATACGTACTTACAGTATGTGAGCAGAAGTATGGATAATTAGGGTTTGACCGTCCTTCTATTTAATTTTATTTATATTTTTAATTAGTGAGTCTGGTCATGCCTTTATTGCACTAAATGCAAAGTAGAAGATGGAAAAAGTCCCAGAGGAGTTCTTGAAATGTCAGAACTAAGACAATCTGTTTGAGGGGTCAGATTCATGCCACCACCTTACTGTAACAGCTATGTAAAGGAAATCTTTAAAAATACAAATTTCCTCTCTGTAACAGAAGCTCTTTCAGGGTATCACAGCAACAGGGTTTTAAGTATACAGTAGAATGTGTTCAGCTATTCAAGGTTTGATAAGTAAGTTACACAATCTGCTCAGTCACCCAAGGTGTAAATCCCATTTAAATCTGCAGGTTTACAAGAAATGTATTTTGACAATAATTCTATGTTTCATAAAATCTGGATTCTTCTTTCTGGTTTCTTACCTTAAGGTTTCTTTCTTTATCATGATTTACAAATTCAATATCACTTACAGTGTGACTCCTAATTAATTTAACAATAATCTCAGAACTCACATTTACTGTATGAAAGAACATCCTTTGGGTATTTTAACCATGTATTTAATCTCTCCTCTTGTTTATTCTTTAGAATGTTGCAAAACATATGTTGTTACAGAATATGTTACAAAACCTTTCTCCGAACCATTCTTTGAGCCATTAAAATAATCTGGTTTCTTTTAGATTATTTCTGGAAGAGTGTTCTTTCCTCTATTAAAAAGCATTGTAATATAGAAGACTGTTATATGATATATATATGAGTTTTATTCCCAGCATATAAAGTAATTGTTTTGTACCGCAAAAGACTCTTTGGGTTAATCCATGTATAATGGTCTGGCGAGGAGTGTTAAGTCTCTTTAGATCTCCACTTGATAACAGCCCAGGTTGAACAGGGAGAAAACATACAAACTCATACAGATAGCACCCCAGGAATTGAACACAGCCCCCCAGTGCAGGAACCCAGCACAGTGCTGGAGGTGGAAATGCTAACAACTGCAGCTCTGTGTCGCCCACTTGTAAAAATCTTCCTTCCCATAAAGAAATGTGTTCACCTTCAAGGTGCTAGAACAATTTTAGAACTTTGAATAATGCTTATTTCATTGTGATATTTTGTTCTAATAATAATATGTATGTTTTTCTAGAGATTTCTTAATGTGTGTGTGAATAAATCTGTCAATTGCACGATATACTTTAGATGCGTTTTAAGGAGAACTGCAATGCTATTTTTATATTTCAGGGTTAGAAAGCATTGCCATTGATGAGTGCATTTCACACCACAATGAAAATAAAATGCACAAAGGAACAAGTTAAACTTCCAATTTACATAAAAAAATAGACTAAATGTTTAGATACCTGGTGATGTGTACTGGCCCTACATTGTACACAAGTAGGCTTGTGAATATATCTCTTTTAGCCCAATAGAAATATTGCTCTGGACTTTGAGACATCAAATACTAGTTGATAACTCTGCATACAAATCATGTTGGAACATTTTTGCAGTGAAATGTCTGCTGTACAACCTGTGCTTATTCGCTCGTGCATCGCAGTAGATTAGTCATTACAGTGATTAGTGAGCAGGAAGGGCTGGTTTAAGTCACAATTTCTGCAAACTCTCAGTCTCACCTGTTGCAACGACATGGTGAGTACTCAGTACTTTCACAAAGTTCAGGATTTCATGATACTGGCAATTAATTCATTTTGTTAATGAGATTTAAAAACCGCTCTGAGAAATTGGGACTGCAGTTCTCCTTTAATCAAACAGAACAAATATGAAGCATTGGCATCATTCTATTTTAGACACTTATTAAGAGCTACACACAGCTAAAGAGGTATAAAATGCAATATTCAGTATCTCACCTGATAGTTGTTATCTACTGGTTCAACAACTGGCCTGCTCATTCTTTTCAGCATGAATGCATAGCAAAAACAGATGGTAATAAGGGGTAGAAGGTAAACGGCCAGGAAGGTATAGAGAATGAAAGCCTTCTGGTGGTATGCTGAAGGGAAAGATTCTGTGCAGTACGTCTGAGGTCCATACCAGTATCCTGACTCCAGCCTCTGGTATATGGCAACTGGCACAGACAGAACAAAAGAACCTAGAAGGAAAAAAATGAATTATAAAATACACTGAACTCAAAGACCACAGTTGTGCTGAGTATATTCTAGGCTGAAAGAAAATGAAGAATATTTGCAAAAGCATGTTCAAGAATTCTAAAATTCAAGGGACAATTGTTAATGATGCTGCTGTGCAAGAATTTTGATGAAATACAGTGAAATATACATTGAAATACATTGAAATATAACCATCTGTATTAACTGAAGTCACGTTACTTTGTGAAGCTACTGTACCTAAGCAGGCACGGCTCGTATTTTTGTTGTTACAAGATAATGACAAATCTGGTCCATTGTCAGTACCAGTACAGTGGAGTGGCACAACAAAATATCTAAACATACCTGATTCTCAAAATAAAATAATCAGTACTGCCAGTACCTAGCCAGATGCTCACACTAACGGCCATCGCTACTCTGGGAGTGCGGTGGCGCAGTGATTGCAGTGGGTAGACCGTGGCATAACAGCGGTCAACACTCATCGCACTTAGGGTGATGCATGTTGCCTGGGCTGTTACCTGTCAAGGTGAAAAATAATAGATTTAGGCTACAGCTCAAAACCTTAAAAATAATCATTTTTTTTCCAAATATATTGACTACCCAAACCCCACAACCTCAATTTTGTTTTGTTAAAAATGTTCACATTCTCAACCTCCTTGAATATTCCTTTTATATTCTGCCCTTGTCTTAGCTAAATCCCTGCTTCTTAATTCCAGTATGTCAGTAGTAGTCAGTAGTCAATAGTAGTCATTCCTACGACTAAACTTAAAAGTCTGTCAAATTAGTTCAGTGGTATATCTTACAGTGCCTCGAGAGCTATGACCAGCAATGCTGCCTCCCACTGATATGCAGAATTTAGAAACACATAATGGAGCCAAGAGCTCTGACCCCAGCAGCTGTACGGTGGAGCAACCACCAAATTTCAACTAAACCTTATTTAGGATGAGTCCTTTATTGACAGCCTCTTTATGAACAATAAATATTCCCATTGATATTTCAAAATGTTAATTTATAATAACCACGCTCTTCAGAATTTCCCATTTTATTTTATATTTCAACTCTAAAACTAATTTTTAAAGGGCAATAAATGTAAATAACGAGCAGCCATGGAAAAGGAACTAACCTGTTGCAGATAGTTCACAATTCTGCACATAAAGTCTCCAAACACCCAGCTTGGCAGTGGGTAGAGAGTAGCAGTGAAAGGCACACAGCAAACCAGAAATATGATATCTGTTGTTGCCAGATTTGCTGCAGAAAAGAACAATATATCTGAGTGCTTTTTTTAGCTTTGCAACTGGAATATAGCAAAAACCTAAAACATTTTTTTTTCAAAAATTTAATAAACATATGACTTAGTCATATGTTATTATTAATTATTAATACTAATAATTTAAAAATTATTAGTATTGCTAATAATTTTTAAATTTGCAAATAAAAAATGTGCAGTTGAATCATAGATCAGAGGGCATTGTTTCTTACTATTATTGCAGACATTTTTGTTTTCTCCCCTCATCAATGAAAATAAAGTAAGGTGGTTATTTTTAGTATCCAGTATGTCCAAAATTATTCAGCAGCCAGAATCCTGATCAGGTCTAGTGCAAGTGATCACATTACTCCTATCCTGGAGTCCTTGCAGTGGGTTCCGCAGGTTTTCACAATCTTTGTTTATTTTTAATTGTTGTTGTTGTTCTTGTCATTCAGTAAAACGCTTTGAGAAGCCACCTTAAAAGGTACTATATAAAATTAAGTTATTATTATTATTATTATTATTATTATTATTATTATTATTATTATTATTATTATTATTATTATTATTATTATTATTATTATTAGTTAGGAAGAGAAACTATAATATATGGAAAAACCTTACAAACTGGCTTAAGGGGTTACATTCCTTTTCATAAGGTAAAATAAAGATGATAAAAATAAGAACTGTTCAAAGGATCCCTAAATAATACAATCATCTTAAAATATGATTTTTAAAATATTCACTTCACTTACAGTTATGACATATTGTTCTTAATAACTGCCACAAAGAGTACTGTGAAATATTACAGTCTGCCTTACCTATGTAAAAATTGGTGACAGTCCTCATCTGTCGGTGCTTAGTAACCACATAAATCACTAAAGAGTTTCCTATCAGCCCTACCAACATAATTAGGGCAAAAAACAGAGGAACGAGCCAGGCATCAACCAGCAGTGGAGGGCTTGGTTGCTCTTTGACAATTGACCCATTGCACCCTGAGCCCAGAGAAAAAGCAGCCTCTGATCCTTCTGAGGGTATGCTGAGATCCAAGCCATTGTGACAAAAGGACAGTCCAGAATTATTCGCTGAGTTCACTGCAGTTGGAGTTGTTTCCACCATAGCATTAATTTGGTCCTCCTAACAACAGTGGGATGAAGAGTCAACCTCTGCAGAAATTGTGAAGGAAGATCTCAGCGCAGATCCTGCCTGTGTATGATAACATAGGGCAGCAGTAAATAATCTGATGATGATAACATAGGGTTTACAGCTTTTCTTTATGTGGCATTCTTCAATAAATGGAAATGTTTTACATCCTAGGATGAAGCAGTAAAGGATGATGGATTGATTGATGTTCCAGTAAACATGCTGATAAATATCCCATGAAATTGTGCTTCAATTTTAAAATCAGTTATTTTTCAGGTGTCAAAAAAACGTAAACTTTTAATTTCATTCAGGACTGAATTCAGTCTTACAGTATATTTGAAAAAAGACAATTGACACTTTTATTTATATCTTTGTACATCTTACAATAGTACATAAAGATTTCCAACAGCTTTTCAACTTACCTACAGTATGATTTACCAAATGCCTTCAGATTAGTGAGTACTTGATCCCTTGCCAAGAAGATTCCCTTCATGAGACTTTAACCATCCAATGATGAAAATTGTCAAAAGGGATTGTAAGTCCAGACTTTGTAAGGTCAGTGGTTTATAGTCTAACTTGAATTTAAAATAAGAATTGTGAATTTGCATTCCACCTCACCACTGAGAGCAATTCTGCATCCTCTTTGTGTGGAACACTCTTCTTAGCTCTTGTGGACAGATTATGTGAAAATTAACTCAGTCCACTGCGTTTTGTAGGAAATAGGGAGAGCATCTGTGGCTGTGAGAGCTATTACAAATACGGGGGTGATCTTTTTCTCTCCCTTTCTCTCTCTCTCTCTTAAAGAGACAGAAATGAAATAACACTTGAACTTCCTGGCATATTTTCAGGATGAAAATGTGTCACACTGGTATGAAAATGTGCAATTACCTTTCATTTTAAAGGTAAAAATTAAGGCCGACCTTCATTTTAATATTTAATTTACTGTGCTTCATAAATACCTTAATTTAATTCATAATGTGTAATTTAAAATATTTTAAGGATGTATTTACTGTGAGTATCTTACAGTGATGCAGTTGGAGGGGCCATGTTCTTGCTGGTTAATTATTTTAGATCCCCAATTTTATAAGAATGGAATATACAATAAGCATGTTTTTAAGGCAAGAGGAATCCGTGTCATATACACAATTAGACTGGTAAGGGTTTCAAAAGGAACTGAAAAAACAAGTGAAAGTATGAAAATACCGAATTCAGTCTTTTTAATAAATATTGATGGTGTTTTTTCCTTTCCTTCATTTTAAAATATAAAACATTAGAATTCCATAAGCCTCTTGAGTCACATGTCACCAAGGCTTATAAAAACGTATCTTTTTTAAAGAAAAATGTTTCTAGAACAGGCCATTCAAGAATAAGAGGTTATCTCGCCCACTACTGCCTACAGATGTCTAAATCTCATATACTGTATTGTACTTTACAGTGAAAAGTGTGAGTTATAAGACAGTGAAGCAAAATTTGTCATTTGGGTCATGCACTTTGTATTTCAAATAAAAAAAATTGTATTTCAAATCAAAAGATAAATATAAGACAACAATACAGAATTTCAACTTATTTAGAATTTAGATTTTATTTCTAAATCTTTTTTGCATACATGTTAACTCATGTCAGAATAAGAATGTTTTTATGTTCAGTCCCTCCCTATTTCAGCTCAGCATAAGTATTGAAACAAATTGACTTGATATTGTATCTGGTCACGTTTCCTTGATTGCTTCAAGTCTGCAACTCATTAATACACAACAAAAATGAAAATGTTTTGCTTCACTACCCCATTATTTAGCTGTTTTTCACTCTTTGACTTTTTTGCTTAATATGGGTCTTTCACTTGTTTGATCTAAATCACACCCCGGTGTTCCTGCTCATCCTGCTCAACTCAAAAGCTGCATTTCTCCCAAAACTCAACACTCCTCAGAAATGCAGCTTGAATCTGCCATCACCCTTCCCCTACTTCTTGCTTTTCTCATTCCAGTTCTCTGTGTCCCATATCTGTCTCCTTCATTTGGTCTCAAATATTACTGCTGCTATCATTCAGACCATGACCAGCGGTTCCTTCCTGGTCCACTCTTTCCCCCTTTCCATCTTCTGTTTTCACCTCCTTTTTTCCTTGTTCAACATTCTGTTCACTGCACCTTCGCCCTCACCCTATCTTTCGCATTTTGTCTCTTTCCCTTTCCTCAACCACTAATTTCCATTTGGCTGCTGATGGGTGCTCGCATCTTGTAGCACTGTGGGTCCGGGGTAACTTTTTCACTGGCCTTGCCATCCTCAGTCCTTTCTCTGTGAATGTTCTGATCACATTCCTTGTGTCTGAAAAGATGACTGGACTTGTGTGTTTGCTTACATCCTCTAGGCAATGCGGGGAAGCAATAGAAAAGCAAACAAAATGTCAGGCTATTTTGCCATAAATCAAACGATACTACTGTATGTTCAAATGGTAAAATGCACTAGATTGGCCTCATTTAGAATATTGTGTATGGTTCTACTCACTGTATTACTAAAAAGATCTTGCTATTGCTGGAATCAGTCTACAGAGAAGAGCAACCACATGCATTCTGGGAGTTAAGGGAATGTCTTACACTGACAGGCTTAGGGTCACTGAACTTTTTTTAGCCTTGAACAGAGAAAGCTACAAAAGGACCTGAAGTAAATATTCCAAAGAGGAGACACATCTTCACACAAAGAGCTGTGGAACTATGGGCCAAGCTAGTCAGTTATGTGGTTGAAGCCAGTACTTTAGATTCCTTCAAGAAATGGCTGGATGACAACCCTTGGCCAATAAGCTACTAACTACAAAAAGGGCCAGTGGGTTGAAAGGCTTCTTCTTGTTTGTAATTTGTCCTTATCTTCTTATGATTCCTTGCTGTCACCCTATAGCACATGGTGGAGTATTGGCCTTCTGCTTTCTCTGCTTTCACCAATGGCTCTCCCACCCTGTATCCTGGATTAAAGCTTACAGAAGAAATGTTTTGCTATCTTTTGAATCTTCATCGAATTTTACAATCTGTATTTTAGCATTTAGTGAGGCTCTAAGTTGAGCAATTAGTCAGGCTTGCATCAACCTTTGAAATTGTCCTTTTGTCATTTGCTCTGCAAATGGTATCCTCATTTATATTCTGTTCAAGCTTTGTAAATTAAGAATTCAATAGTCGTTAAATTACTCCTTTCTGTATATTAACACATATTTTAACTCCTCTAGTATATGCTAAATTAGCATCTGTCCAAAATAATGAAGTGTAGGTTGCTGGGTGAATCAGCTAGAAACAAAACTCTGGTTGTTTTACAGGAATAAACTTTTGCCAGTAACAGAAGTGCAGGTCTGTTAGCATGAAAACTTTTTTTCAGCACAATAACTCACAGTAGGTGGACATACAGAGATCACCTTTTTTAAAAGCACACTTCTGGGTTTAGCAGTTTTGAAAACTCCAATGAATTTAATACAATAACAACAGTAATTGAATAGCATTTTCATACTTGCTATTTGACTTGAATAAGTGGGTTCCTCTTGATGTTGTCTACTTAAATTACTAAACTAACACAACAGAGAATACAAAGATGTGTGCAATTAATATGAATAAATTAAATTAATATAAATAAAACTCTGACATTACCAATATTCAAAATCACACTGCATCTCATCTAAATAACTGCTAAATGTCATGATCTAGAGTTTTATTCAAACAAAAGACTTTTATAATTAGATATTTTCTCCCTTGATGGAATAATTGTTTACAAAATTGGTGCTAGTTAACAAACATTAACCGGTAAATGAATGACTCAATTATTAATAAATAGCAGTACCTACAGTAATATCGTGTAGTGAATGATAAAAAAGTTATTTTCTATGATGATATAATAAAACTATTTTATACGATGTTTCACTAAACAGAAAAACATGTAATCAAAGTTTTTTTAATTGTGTATTATGATAGTATTGAAATAAAAGTTAACCTTTGTTCATATCAATGCACATGTGGACACTGAGTGATTGGTATGTGTTAGAACTGGTTGTGGGAGTAACTTGAGGCATTACTTCAGGAACAAAATAGGATTGCCAGAATTTGCCATTTGAAAAACAAAGAGTGATAAATCATGGTAAGCTTCAGCTTTCTGTCATTCTTGGATTTACTCACTGCCATCGCTCAGTAGTGACAAATCCTGCAACCTACCCTTCTCTTTCACCAGGTATTGAATTCCATCTCTTTATGAACTCCACATTCTTTCATAGCTTATTGGGTCTCTTTGTCAAATCTGGTAAGCAGTACACACTCATCATGCTTCACAGCATGCATAGACAGTCTGTACGTATGGCCCCTATTTTCTTCCTGCATGTTTATCATGAAATTAAAACATTTATCAAACTGAAAGCATAATCTTTTGAATTGAAAAAGACAATTTTATGAACTCATTAAGGAACTTCGATTTTACTTTATATAGTAATATTTCTTTTTTCATCTGTAAAATACAGTTTAGATTTCTGATCTGTTTTTGCAATGTGTGTGCAATGTCTATATTTGATTCAGCTAAGTAACTATTCGCTTGGGATCTGATTTTGTTCATAAATGGTATCAAGCTAAGCAGAAACTTACTGTAACATTATGAATATATACTGTAAATATAATGCAATTTGAAATAGTAATGGCTTTTTCTACACTAATTTTACATCTTATAAAGAAAGGAAATTCCATCTATTCTTTATAAGAAAGCCGCTTATTCTTTCAAAAGCAGGTTGTATGCATAAAATGGGACTACTTCCTGGATGGGGAACCACTGAATCTAAGAGCATTCACACAAACACACAGGGACAATTTGGAGATACTAATGCACCTAGGCAAATGCATTGAACCTGCAAACTCCATATAGTGACTCAGTCCAGAAACAAAGCCAGGACTCAACACATCTACAAAGGAAAAGCCACCCAACATAGGAAATTTAATATACAAAAATAATATACATTAAAGGACAGCACAGTGGCGCAGTGGTTAGCATTCCTTTTTCACTGTGTAGAGGTTTCTACATTGAGTTTGGATGTTCTCCCTGAGTTCACTTGAGTGCTCCCATAGTCCAAGAACATACTGTCAGGTTTATTGGCTTCTGGGAAACCTGTCCTTGCTGTGAGTGTTTGGGCCTTGACAGATCCCATCTAGGGTGTATCCTGAAATGTGCCTATTGCTTGCCAGGATAAGCTCGAGCTCTCCAGCGATCCTGTATTGGATAAACTGGTTAAAAAATGGATTGAATATGTAATAAAGCTGTAACAAAACTCAACCTCAGGGGTTTCAATGAGGTTTCTTGATGTGTAAGTCTAAGGTAACAGTTTGTCACCAGGATGACGAGACATCGCTGCCTCTCTCCTGGAGGAGAACTTTCACTGGGCCCAGTGCGCACAGGCTCCAGGAGACAACAATGAACAAAATTCAGGTGCCTATAAAGGAAAATGTTTAGGTTCCTCACGGTCTCCTGGAGCAGACTACATGGTGGAGGATTTCCAGGGTTAGTCTTTATAACACGGTTGTCTCTATCCTGCACTGGTTTGAAGTACAGTAGGTTGAAGCTCTCTACTTTGGTTTCAAGCTGAGGGGGAGAAAATCTGGTCCCCCATAGACTGAAATTTCAGGATACTTCATGTAGGGCAAGCAAACACATTCTCAAAAATTGAAATTGGCTTGTTTGATATAAAAAGTTCTCTACAGTGGTAGCTACTGGTCTGGTGTTTTTGTAGAGCAAG